TGTCGATTTTCAAGCGAGATTTTGTCCTTTAGGTGAAAACAATCTCGGCCGAAGCAGTATACATCTGGTCTCTCCTTATTGGTAATCATTGGTAGTGCTCGTCTCACGAAAATCAAAACTTTCGAATCCGAGATTTCCTGGCTAGTAGTTTGAACACTCAAGTGTTTGGCAACGAGAGGTCGATCAGTAGTATGATTAACTTACACATAAACAGGATGTAGGGCCAATCGCCTTGGAACCATGTGACCCGCATCACGTGGCCACATGTGTTGACCGGCTCCTCGATTGTCCTAATCTCAGATGTAAGTTTCACTCATATGAACTTATTCTTCCTTTGAACTACATGTAGATTGATGTTAATGTGAGGAGTCAATCCTAAATGCCGATTGGGCGCTCGTGGTTGGACACTTGAGTGTTCAAACTACTAGCCGGGAGGTCACGGGTTCGCAATTCTCTTGATTTTCTTGCGCCACGCAGTGCTTGATTAAGGGTGAGACAACTGTACGGTGCTTCTCACCTGTTCAGTATAGACTGGCTTACAAGGAGAAATCCCAGTTGAAAATGAGTTAGTTTGCCACAAGAAGCAGCACCAGCTTACCGGAACAATGTGAAAAGTGCAGTAAGATCCTGGAATCCGTGCCACTCACAGAGTGGATAATAACGTGCCGCAGTACGTGTATGGAGTTGACATTTGTTTTCAAAGTTTCCAAGTAGTCCAAATCCTTGAACCGCTGAGGTATCGTACTTTGTGAATACCGGAGAAAAACCAGCCTTTCTGAGCCTTAAGCTGTTGAAAAGGTTTAAGAAAACAAAGTAAACTAATCGACTGTCCACCAATAGCTCCGCAGAGTAAGCTGTCTCGAAGACGAGTAAATGATAACCGGTAACAAACTCGTTAGCACTCATCTACGTTAGAAATGTATCCCACGACTTCAAATCTTGGAATATCCGTGTGGTTCAATTTATTGGGCTTCAAAAGTGGCTCAAATCTTCCGCCGTTTCGATACCGAGAGGTCACAGTGAAACCACAGTTGCTTGTTGACTACTTTGCATCCCTGCAAATAATCGTTCAGCTGTAACACTCCTTTGGTGCCTAAGTGCCATACCACCGGAAGGATGCACGAGCGTTGAGATACTGTCAGGTTTACCAAGCCTAGACAAGAGCAGTCGAGATTGGGTTCGAATCACACACCTTCCGGTCAGTAAGCGTGCGCCCTAACCACTGAGCTACGTCAAACAAAACATCTTATTAATACCTAGCACGTCGAAAAGTTGGTGCTGAAGGACACTGTGCACAATGGTTTTGAATGGGGGCAGACTGGAAAACGCCAAACAAGTGCTATTACATGATGGCTAAGAATATAGCGACCGAGACCCGAGGGAGATCAGGAGTTAGTGTGCTAATTTACTGACCGAAAGGCTCATGGTTCGAACCCGATCTGTGCATCTCGAACTGCTGTTGTCTAGGCTTGCGTAACCCAGAAGTATCTCGGCCCTCACGGTTCCCCTCGGTAGCATGGCAGCTAAGCCCGGAAGGGTGTTACAGCTGAATGATTTTTTAAAAAATATATTATTGACTGCCCCTAATGAGACTCGATTATATCTCCACATCAGTTTTGTTTGCAGTTTCCTTTCCGTCCATATACGATTACCTCGGGTGTTTGTTCTGACAGAAGGAGGGTTGTGCGAACGAGAATGACATGTGAGCACATCCAATGGATCCGGCAAGTGCCCATAAGTGACCTGAGTTCGGATGGCCAATTGGAATCCTGTTTGCGGGAAATGCTGACCAGTAGTGTCTTCTTGACTGAAGGGTCGGGGGTAACCAGTTTTCCCGGACGTCTGTTAGCCTGGTTCACCAAATCTTGGTCTCTGTGGCTTTGTGTTTTGTTGTTTTCCTGAGACAACAGTCGTGTTTTTTCCAAAGAGAAATTTTCTTGTCTTTTTGTCCCACGTGAGTCACAACGCACGCAAAACCATTGGAATCATGATAAATATCTGGAAAGTTGGTTGACTGGTGGGTTCCTTGACCAGTGAGTAAATAATTACCCACAATATATTTACAAAAGCGGTACGACGCTACCAAAAGCACTTGGAATTTTCGCAGTTTTTTTCGCGACCAAAATTACCTGGCTGTTGTCCCATCTGATTTATTCTCAGAAGGAACAGAGACTAGAGGGATAAATCAACCAAACGTTGAACTTTTCGCGGTCCGACTAGATATTCGATCCCCCTTATTTCAAAGAGCTCCGTAAGCTATTGAAAGAACATTTTTGATCGGTGTTCAAGGGGCGCGGACATTCTGACCGGAAAGTCCGTGGATGAACCTAATCCCTGCATTTCGACTGCTCCCGTTTAGGTTTAGGCAACCCAGCAGCTAAAGCTGAACAATTATTATATATTATCCCAAACGACATAAAAGAGTATTACTGGAAAAGAGACTGGGACATCTTGATTCATCTACTGTTATTCCCATGTGGTTACTTTCATGTGGCCTTCAGTCTTAAAGGTAGAACTGGATGCTATCAAACGCCTGGTTCATGCTTGCGAATGAGCTGGTGTAGGTGATAGATCTGTTACCCTACCCGGTCTGCCGCAAATGTTCGTGTGGGAAACGGTGAAACCACTTTCAAAAGCAGAAAGACCAAGGTTGCCGACAATCACAATGTCATGTGTCTCCGTGATGGTCAGTGTTTATGACACTACTGTACAGTCTGTACCGCTTTGTGGATGAGAAACGTGGCTGGTAAATGCGGAAGATACAAAAAGGACTTTCTGTGTTTAACCATCGGTGTGTGCGACGCACTACACGGCCCGATGTGAGCAGGGATGTTGAGTTGCGTCAAGGTGGTTTTGAAAGGAAGAGTCTTCATGATGGACGAACTATTCGTAATCCATCATTTACGCTGATTGGTACACGTATTGTGCACGCCACAGGGGCGCTAGCCTCAGGAGCCTATTTGTATCTAACTTTGTTGATGGTGATCACTCTCTGACCTGTTAACGAAGGTTAACAGCTCCGACGACTAAACTCGGTCTTGCTGATATCTGCCATTTTCTTGTATAAAGACCTGGGGACAAAACATGCTGGTGCTTTGTGACGGTGACAAAGAGCTCGACTTCCTGGGTCAGTGACCTTCGTGACATAGATTTATCGGCTTCAATACGCAGTTTGCCCTATTCCCACTGTGATAAAAGCAGAAGTAATCGATATCAATGCACTTGTTGGGCCTTGGGTCAGTGACATTCGTGACATAGATTTGTCGGCTTCAGTACGCAGTTTGCCCTATTCCCGCTGTGATAAAAGCAGGAGTAATCGATATCAATGCACTTGTTGGGCCATATCTTTTCAAACCTCCTTCTCATCAATAAATAATGGTAACAAACAATAATCGTTCCGGTGCCTAGCTGCCATATGCCACCCAAAGGAAGCACGAGGACCGAGATGCTACCAGGTTGCCCATGCCTGGACAGAGGCAGTCGAGATGCACTGCTCGAACCTTCCGGTGGGTAAATTCGCGCTTTATCAACTGCGCCATCTCGAGATCTCGTAATAACCCAACTGTCGGTGAACGAAACTGTGGCAGATTGAACTAACCTATCTCCAGACACGGATTAATGCGCTTGAACAGAAATGAAACGGTGCTGAGGACTTCTTTAGAAGCAGCTAGCCTCTCAATCTGTTAAAATACACGTCTTTAGCAGACTTACTTGTTTATTTATTTAGTCGAAATCTTGATTCCGACGCCTCAGTTGCTCCTTATTTTGGGAAACAAGATTAGGTCGATAAATGCCTCTCTGGTTTGATATCAAACAGTCAAATATTGTTTACATTATTGCAAGCACATCCGAACTCCAAAACGTCAGTCCATTTAAGCTTTATTTCCGAAGATCCTTGACAATTTTCCTACCTCACAGAAGATTGGCGAAGAAGGTTCTACTCTCTCAAAGTGATTAGGAAATTCAAGAAATACACTCATTGGCAAATCAATTTGGTTTTCACGAGAGACTCAACTGAATCTCTCGTTTATGATATCCTACAACTGAATGTGCTGCACACAGGCCGCCTCATGTTTCAGTTGGCACGATATTCGAGATATCGCAGTATACTTTCATAAAGGAAACTTCTCACAAGGTTACTTAAAACTCTTCGACGGCCCACGACCGGTTTCGCCCTTCTTGGGGCCCATCAGGTAGGCGCAGTCCCCGAGTTTCCGTCGACCTTATGTTTTACGAGAGATTCAGTTGAGTCTCTCGTGAAAACCAAATTGATTTGCAACTGAGTGTATTTCTCGAAAACGGTCCAATTCGGGTTGAAGTAGAACATAAGTTTGACGGAAACTCGGGGACTGCGCCTGCCTGATGAGCCCCAAGAAGGGCGAAACCGGTCGTGAGCTGTCTCGGAGTTTTCAGTTATGATTCGGAAGTTCTTCAGGTGCAAAAAATTAAAAGCATCATAATAGTTTTATGTACTCATGTAAGGAACCGAAATATGGACCACTGAATCAATCTGAATGCGGAACACGTCTCAGACGTTTCGCAGGCGACTGCGACCAAGAAATGCACTGGGTCCTAGAACAGAACCGACACCCAGGATCCAGTGATTTTCGCGTTAGCCGGAACTGTTGAATTTCCCCGTCAAACTAAACAGGATCACGTTGTGACTCAGTTTGTTTGAATAAGCACAACGTTCAAAGAGCTTTGTCGGCGCGCACGACCATATGTATGACTTTTACGGATTCCCATCATTGTTACTTCCTCGGAGCTGAAGGTCATGTTGTTGTGGATGTGAAGGTCCTTGGTGCGTGAAGCCATTTCAAGATTATCTGTTTTTTTATGTGCCGTACATTTCCCAATTGCAGTACTTTTGTCTTGCTTATCTAATGGATACACTCTACGGAGTGACCTGCTTTTCAATCGTAATAGCGGTGGCTATCTGAATGTGTTGTCACCGGACTGACTTTGTTTCTATCCTCTTCCCTTTGTTTTTTTTACTTCAGATTTCCTTTACCATTGCCAAATTGGTACCGATTAAACAGGAGTTTGGTTTTGGTCTGCTCACAATCGGCTGTTCCCCCGGAGGAGGGGCCAGTAATGCTTGGTCTCTGATGCTCGGTGGAGATATCAATTTGAGTATACTTATGACGTTCATAAGCTCCTTCTCCGCACTGTGTGAGTTTCGAACACAAACCGATTTTCCTATTGCTCTGCGACCCGAAGAATATCAACCAGCCAAAAAATTTCATCCCAGCGTGGAGGGTAGTGTAGTACAATATCCCACTGAATTGTTTTGCCTGCTACTGCACCTTAAGAATGCGAGTACCGATCAGGCAAACAATCCAGTCACGTGGCATGGTTCTTGCTGTAGGTTTGTTATCCTACTCGTACTTTTGAGCACCGCATATCCAATAATCGTCCTGGAGAGCAGTCTTCAAAAAAGAACGAAGAAAGCATTTTGCGTTATGATTCTCTAAAATCGTTCATCTTGTAGGTTAGTCAACCCTCAGCTCCCCAAAACTCAGCTTTTTCAGTGATGAGTGATTTTTCTTCCCACCGCAATTAATAATCGTTCTACTGTAAAACCCTTTCGCTACCCATCTGTCATGCCACCCGAAAGAAGCACGAAGGTCGGGATACCACCCGGTTGCCCAATCCTAGACGGTAAAAGTCGACGAGATGCAGAGGTCCGGTTCGAACCACGAACCTTCCGGTTAGGAAATTCGCGCCATCTCGCCCCTGACTTAATGATGGGACATTTGATGGGATATGTACGCAATACTCCTTACGTTTCAGACGATCTAGACGAGCTGTCGGAGAGTTTTCAGAAGGAAAGACTTATGAGTAGTGTGTGCTGTGAATAGAATCAGAGGGACTTTTCCACATCAGTATAAGATGAATGTATGTTCTGTTAGCGACCCATCAAATAGCTTGAGAGCCACAAGCTCTAAGATGATGCATTTGGCAGTGTTTTTCGGAGGAACGCGCCCAATAGAAAGGAACGTGGGTCAAGTGCACTTTACGTCGAACTGGTTCGTTGTTTTGTGTTCTAGTTCCAACCAGAAAAGCGCAGTAAAACGACACGACGGGATCGGAACATGAAGATGAATCAGATGTTGAATCTGCCTTGGTATGGACCATTGACTGTTGATTAGCGCGACGAGATAGCAGCAGGCCCCCAATGAATTTCACGTGATGGTCGAATCCTAGACGCAACGTTTGGTTCACTTCCATGTACGGGCTAGCGTTTGGCGATGTATCTGCCTACTTTGGTTACGGGGGTACTTGGTTCACACAGTGCCATTATTCGTAAATAGGACTTTTGGTTTGAAATGACTCCTCAGCTTAATCAAAACGACGCGTGTTTTTCAAACCTGTCTGAAACTCTTAGGCAGTTTATTGTTCGTTCATACTCAAAAGCAATGTCCATTTAATGACCGAACTATATTACGTCCTACACAAGTCTTTCGAATTTTCATTGGGCTATCCTTATGGCATCCGTTATAGGCCGTATCAGCTTATCTGTCTTCTCAGTGGATCGCATCCTAGTTGAGCGGAGCCAGGAATTTGAAATTTGAGAAGTTCAGATCTGGTTTTCGATGATGACGAGATGGCTCAATTGGTTGGAGCGCGAATTTACTGACCGGAAGGTCCGTGGTTCGAACCCGACCTCTGCCTCTCGACTTTCCTGTCTAGGCTTGGGCAACCTGGCAGTAACCCAGCCCTCGTGCAACCTTCGAATGGCGTGGCAGTAGGCACCCGAAGGATGTTACAGCTGAACAATTTTTTAAAATTTGCGACCGTATCAGCCGTATACATTTATCATCGCCAGACTTTTACTTGCTTTATCACCGGCTTTTGCAGTCATGATGCCACTACTTCTGTTCGCCTTCGGTCGATTCTTCATCGATGTGAATCGGGTCCGGATTCCCTACGGTAACATATGCATCCAGCTCCTCCAAATCGCCATCCCCGCGCTGTTCGGTCTGGGATTACGGTGCTGGAAACCGGAGATTGCCAAACGTTTTACCAAAATCACTCGACCAATGTTTGTGTTTTTCATCCTATTCTTCCTCACGTTTGGAATCTATGCGAACCTTTCGATTTTTCGACTGATCGGTTCGTACCCGATCGTGATGCCCACTGGTGCGCTTTTGCCTTGGATCGGATTCGCCATGGCAGCTCTTGTTGCATTCATTCTGCGCCAGTCCCGGCCTATCATAATCACGATAGCTTTGGAGACAGGAATTCAAAATATTGGAGCTGCCGTTCTCGTGTTGCTCTATTCTATGCCACAACCCGAGGGAGATTTGGGTGCTGTAATGCCAATTACTGTGTCCATCTTCACTCCGGTCCCCCTGTACTTCATCCTGTTGGGAGTGACGATCAAACGCCGTTGCTGTCGTAAGAGACCTCCACCGTCAGAAGCCCATGAGGTCGAGCCTATGAATGCTCCTGGGAAGGATTTAGTTGAGGAGAATGATAAGAAAGAGACGTTTGACGTTTTATTCCCCGAAGAACCGAATGGTACGAACCACTTTCATGAGAGTAGGCTCTGACTTTTTTTGAAGAGATTATTTCTGCCACATGAAGCCGTCAAATTGACTTTTTGAGCGTCATTGAACGTTTTGCTACCACACCCCTCCCACTCTTCTTTCGACTTTCAAAGTCGTCTGTTCTCAATAGAGATTTAGCGCACCACTACTACTTCAGTGACCTCCCTTTTGTATTTTATTATTCTTTGCGAAAATGTACGATTTTTACCGATTTGTTTGAGTATTTTCTTGTTAAAATAAAACCTGTTGTTTTACCGAGTACGGTGCATCGATTTGCTCCCGATTTGTATCGACCGCTGTTCGGTCAAATTTTTCGTCTTTATTTCTGAATCATGCATGCAGGTTGTTAGGACTTGGAAGTACTCATGTGGTGTTTGGATCGAGATCATCGAAATGATGGGGCCAACGAACTTATGCAGTTCCCCATTCGGGTACTAGTATGTAACATGAAAGGATGTCTTCAGCTCACTGGAGACCTACCCCCCCCCATACCAAGTTACCCTCTAAGGTGAATCGGCTGTGGAGCATCTCGGTGGAGTCTAATGAACCTGTTTTTATGAACCTTGTCTCAGAGAACCAGAAACGGTCTGGTATGTTTGCATACGGAACCATCCGTGAATGCTAATCCCCTTTGAAGGCAACGGAGTTGAAATTCCTGAGAAAAGATGGGTCTGTGTGGTAGACTGTCAGTAAATGAGAGACCGCTGGCTTGATTTCTACCGTCGGTCTCTGTTTTTCGTTGTCCTGCACTCGAGTTTCGCTTCGATTCTAGGATGTTGCTATGTTCATATCCAACGTTCCTCAACCCACATCCGCTGAATTCTCTGTGACATCCACATGTCTTGCATCCAAGCTTGAAAGTTGATAGACTTAACACTCGTGTGCATTCATTTGCACACACGGATGTCCGTACAGAGTAGATTTGTACCATACTTGGCGCCTTTCAGGCTGTCACTAACTGACGTGTTTACAGTACCGGATGAAATAAAGTACCAGCTAGATCAGACTCTAAACAGACATAAACAAACACCGAATAAGCTCGATTTTCCAAATTAATTCCCGGTACACCCGAAAACGAGATTACTGAGAGTCGATTTTCAGTACTATATTCAGCCACACAAGAAAATATCGATTAGAGGGAAAACTTGTGACAAGCATTTTTTCCAACATCTTTCCACTAGCAAAGCCGTGCAGTGTCGGAATAGCCTGTTTATCCAAGGGAAAAAACGCGGTGGCAGAGGTGCTTGGCACATGCCTGAACTTTCGAGCAGACAGTCAGTCTGGATACCTGGTCTCGGTTCACTTTCACGTGAGGTTGGCGGGTTTTTTTTCACATTGACTAGCTGCGGCAACGAACACGGTAGCATTCATTGCAGTCTGAAGGTAGAACGATGCTTTTTTGTCGGGATGCATCCGTCTTTTGTGGTGGCTCATTGAATCTGATGGCCCCCATACAAGTTGAAGACAAACATCCTTGCTGATTTTAGCACGGACGTAGTCAGACTAAACGTTGTGTGCTTCATATTGACTCGTGTGGTCTTTTCCAGATAAGCCCCACCAAAAAATTAACCCCCGCCACCCAAACAAGAGGATATGAAATGTGTACTTTTAGTGTTTATTGAAGAGGGTGAAATTGGGACATGTCATCAATAATTTGCATGAAAAGGTTCGTTTTTCGGTACCTTTGCCTCCAAACAAACTAACACAAGTAGCTGTCCACTAAAGATCGTTGTGTGCCTCATTGGCGTTTATTCTGCATCTTGTAGACGTGTCCTGCTTGGCTTTCACGGCGAGATATTAGTGTTTCTCCGATCTCGACATCTAGACCTGGAGTCTGCCGAAGCCGTCAGGCGCAAACTTCGCGAATAAAGTTCTTCCAGTCAACAGCGGTCGTGTGGCTAATAGATAATTCCTCTGAGCAGAATTCGATTTTTGCCAAATTTGTGTCTCAAACTCCATCCTAGACCGCTCCAGCCAAGTTCCCTTTCGAAGACCGATTTCTTACCGACACTGTCGAGCATTACACCTTCACCTGTCAGAAACAGTCGAAAGTGTCATTTGGTGGCCATTGTTGCATAAACGTTGATGGGTCATTCCGTGGCTTTGCAAAAAAACGTATTACCGTCTCCTTGTCATGAACGAGAGTTGAAAGCGTCAGAAAGTTCATTTAAGGTTTTACGTCCGAACGGAAAATTTTTTTGCTCAAAATGAGCCTAGATGCGGATAAGGAATTGTTTTAATCAGAAGTAGGTCAATGTTGTGTGCGTACATTAAATTGGAGCTGGCAAAAATGGCGGGGCTTAACTTTTCGTACATGCACTTTATGCATTAGTGGCGGGGCTCATCTGAAAAAGATCCGACTGGTGTGGTATCTGGAATGGAAGATGACCTTTTCGATCTTTCATTGACTTCGGAAACCCAGCGAAATAATCAAAATCACATGGACGCAAAAATGCGTGCCACTCAGTACTGACATTGAAAAAAACTAACATTGGATGGCGCCACTCTGATTAGCTACGGGAAGTCGAACGTTGCTGTTCGGAACCTCTGGCCACACTCTCCAGCGCGCTTCAAATGTGTGGCGCTACCAAACTAAAAACTTCTGACAAGCTTGTCAATCGATGGATCGAACGAACCAATCATATCGCTCAACCTCCTCAGATGTGAAAACTCAGCTGCGTCCAGTGCGCGCTGGTGGGTAGCGGGAAGATGCCCACCCTGCATGTCCGATGTTCTGAGTTCGCCCCGACACGGCCAGTGTTATGGACTCACGAGAAAAATTGCGCCAGGTCAGGAGGCTGACTGAACACGTATTCATTTTCCGTCACGTGTTTCGGCTGGATTGATTGCCAACAACTATCTGCTGTCTGGACAGGACTGATGAACCGTGAAAGTACACAAACCACGCGTTCAAACATGAACCTGGCTAATCAGAGTAGCGCCTAAAATGTTTCACTGTTAACGCTATTTGGCAAGTGTTCTCGTACGAATGTGATTTTGACTACGTTGGTCCTGATGCGTCTTGCGGAGGTGATGATATTAATGCACAGGTGATGATGTCCGCATACAAATCAGGTGTATGCACTTTACTGTGGTGGACAGTAGTTGGTTGCAACGCGTATAAAAATAAATACAGTGCGAAATGGGAGCAAGTCACAAAAAAGGAACTTATCATATGTGAGAGTCCCTTGGTAAAAGTCCGGACGTTGGGGACGTGTTTTCTCCGCAGTACGACTGATGCATGTATTCCATAGTTGTCCGTGGACTGGGAATGTTGGGCTGACTCCTTGCTCCCTGCGCGCGCGTGAGTCTGTGTGCTGACTGCGTTCGGTTTCCCATGTATGTAGGTCGGATGGCGCGTCAGCACATGAGTAGTTGCTACGCTCACTAGGCGCTGCAGACAATCGATGTCTAATTAGTGACGTGGTTTGCGAGTATGAAAAAAGACAAGTCTCGTGATCCAGTGAGCGACTGTGAGTTGAACAGTCAAGTATGTAGGTGACTGGGTCACTACGATGGAATCTTTTAGCGAGAAAAAATCCGCCGGGAAACGTGTTACTTCTAAAATACTGCCCTAAGCATTTATACTGGACGAAGTGGAAGATTCTATCCTACGATGACAGCATTTTCGTATGACCAAATTGTCGAAGCCCTCCACACGTGACTGTCATGTGCGACAAGTAGGATCATACAAGCAAGAGCTGAACCCGTCAGTGAGTGCTGTGGTCTCTGCAAAAGACACCGATTGAGATTTTGATACCAGTCGTAAAACACCGTATAATGCAGGGGGATCACGTCAAGAACTTCCAATTTTCCTTTCGATCGAATTCTTGAGCGCCAAACTTTGCTGGCATTGCTTACTGACAACAAAAATTAAATAAAACGTGTGCATTCTCCATTCAGATGTGTGTGAAACGTCAAGGCTGCATAGTTGCCCACGTTGATTGCGCGTTTCCGTTCGCAGGTTATCGACATCAGTTCCTGTATCACGTGATGCAGCGGAGCGCAGCGGGGAACACGAAACCGTTGCGGACAACGTCCGTTCGCTGATGACATATAACACGGAACCGTCGCGGACAACGTCCGTTCGCTGATGACATATTGAGCGCGGGTTTCGTCTGTTGCCAGCGTTTGCCGAGTCACAATCAGAGCGATTAACAAGTGTCCACTGCGCGAGGTTGCTGGGGTGTGGAAGGCTGGGAAGATGAAAAAGGGGTTTCCGGTGTCATGTAACTCTATGTTACATGTTAAGGAACCGAATCCGTGCGTAGTAACAAAATCGACTTGATTTAATCGCAGCCAAAGTTTGTCAGGCATGGATCCCTGTTACCACCTTGATGTTCTCACATATGAGTTATGACGTTAGTTACTCGGCCACACGAAGCAGTATTATTAGTGCACCGGCTAAAGGCCAGAAGGAATGTGGGCAATACGAAAAATCCGGGAATGAAGTGGTGACATTCGCAGAGTGGAGGAGGGTTGACCTCATTATGTATGTATGTATGTATGTATGTATGTATGGTTTTGGCGTCCATTCTCAGAGTATCAGTTTCTGAGTCATCCTATTCTCGGCACTGCTGGATGTATCCATGTTGATATGCATTGCGGCAAGAACACGGGAAGAAACTAGTTCACTACAGCCGGATTCCACCGCTCAGTGAATTGGGACGTAACTCCTGATCGCACGAAACTGCCAGGATAAAATCGGCTGTAGTCAGAAGCTTGTGAGAAGTCGAGAAATACACTCATTTGCAAATCAATTTGGCTTTCACGAAGAACTCAACTGAATCTCTTGTTTATGATCTTCTACGACTGAATGTGCTACACACAGGTCGCCTCATGTTTCAGTTGGCACGATATTCGAGATATCGCAGTATATTTTCATAAAGGAAACTACTCACAAGGTTGCTGAAAACTTTTTGACAGCCAATGACCAGTTCGCCCTTTTTGGGGCTCATCAGGTGGGTCGAAGAGTTTTCAGCAACCTTCTGACTAGTTTCCCTTGTGAGAAGTCCTTCGGAATAAGTCTTACGCCATGATTCCACTATGAAATATATGCAATATAATAAGATAGCCGGCTGAAGATCCGTTACTGGCCACTACGAAAGGAGAATAACGTCCTCATACCCCAAATATTGGAGTTCGAATGTAGCCGATTTCGGAACTTCGCAAAAGAAGTTCACATGTCTCGGCTGGATGTTGGTGAATCGCGTTGGAACCAGGCCAGCTTTTTCAACTGTTTTTTTATGGACGAGAAACTTCTCACCCGCCGGTGTGCCTTGCCTTTATCTGCCCTTGTAATTACTAAAATGCCTACACTTTTTAATGTGTTTGAGGCCCTTTGCTCAGCTGGTGCAATGTTTGGAACCCTTGGTTACTAAGACTTCGAGAATGTGACCAACTGTACATGTAAGTTCTCCACTTCCGCTGAAGGATGCTTCTGAAGACTCAACACTAGGGATGATCTCTTCTACCCTTATAACACTTTTACTTACTGAAAAATTCAATCCTTTCTCTGACAGACAACGTTCCTGTTCACTTAACGGTCTGTCTGATAAATTGATTACGCTGCAATAGCTAGTAGATGGCTTACTCTTCTTTGTTGTGTTTTGTCTCAAACATCGTACCTACTGGAACGCGAGGTGGCCTTCACAGATGAGAAGTTTAGTTGAATCTCCCGTTAGCCGCCACTGGGTAAGTTCTGTTCGCCAAGAAGTTTGGGTAGGGTGAGATATTTGAGCGAATTGCAAGGATTCTTACTTTTTTTTAGAAAGTCTGATAGCAGTTGAACCCACAAAGCTAATCAGCAGACTGAAGGCATTGAGGACAAAATATTGGCTGAGGTAGCGCAGGCGGTCGTTTGTTTGTTGGCCGTTTGATTGCAAGTGTTTCATCGCCAATCGGGGTGACATCATCAGTGCGTTATTAAGAGGCTTAGTGAAGGTAGCAATGGGTCGGTCGCTGCGCATTTCCGCAGAATCTTTGCTCAGCTCAACGATACTAACAACGTAGTCAAAGTCCGTCCACACGTGGTAGGGACTATTCCCATTCTTGAGAAAAATCTTTGTTCAACCGACTGCGAAACTGAAGAACGTAAGCATAAGCAGGATGCCCTGTTCAGCACCAGAGTTTAAATCAAGGACAGTTCTCTCTTCGCCGTAGGCTCAAATTCAGGTTTTGCTGTTCAACCGTGGGTTCTTGTGTGACGTATCAGTTTATACTGCACGCCGTCAGCTTTCAAGACACCGACCTATCACCCTGGTTGGGCATCGATAGCGGTATTGACGTAGCACAGTCTAAGGTAGCACTTTTGGCGCCCCATGCTGAACGGAACAGTTTGTGAGGAATCCCAAGTATTTACCACGAACCGGCCTCATGGACCGCAGAATACAGTCTTCTGCATGCTCAACTGGATCCAAGCTGAATCGTTGGTATATGCTATTCCTCATGACAACCCAGTGGTTAGGGCGCGAATTTGCTGACCGAAAGGCCCGTGGTTCGAAACCGAACTCTGCATCTTGATTTTTCTCATCTAGGATTGGGTAACCCGGCAGTATCCAGCCCTCGTGCTTCTTCCGGATGGCATGGCAGTTAGGCACCGAAATGGTGTTACAACTGAACGATTATTATCATTATTCCTCAAATAACTTTGCCAAAAATGAGCTTCTCTATGTTCAATATTCCAGACGTTGCAGTATTTGTGTTATGTGAAAGCTGTGTTGTCTGTGATAAGTAACTGGTGATTGTGGGGGCCGATCATTACCGATGTAATTCCGAGGGTTGATGCAGCAATCGACTGTGTGAAAGTATTTCGTTGGAAGCTCGGCTCTTGGATGGAGATTGAGTGAACTTTAGAAGACAGATATTGCTTGGCATTAAGCTGACTGGTAATCGCATGAGAAATAGTACGAGGCGAATTTCAAGGTCCTCAAGGTGGGTCGTTCTGTAGTTCGTGGCTTGTGCTCAGCGATAAAGTGAAGTTTGAATCTGGCGCGTACTAAGTTATGTATTGAAACTCGTTCTTTCGTGTTTTCTCTTCCACACCGGGGCAAACAGTCTTCTATAGACTATGCCCATTTTGGCTGTCTCCAGGATGTAATCCATCTGGAAAGCATTCACTGTCGGGATTCCAAGTGGGACGTGTTCGAGTTGCTGCGGGTCGACTGAAGGCGCGAAATTGATCAGTCAGTCGCCTGAGAATGCAATAGGTGGGGTGGACCGAAGCACCACCGGCAACCATCAAGATACTCAGCGTGCGCGCAGGTCAGTCCACTTTTTTTAGATCTTTGTAGAACATTCCGGTGAAGACGCAAGAAGATAGATGGCTATGAAGGTGACCGGAGAGCCTCTGAGAGAAGGTGTGACAATTTTGGATGATACTGGCTCCAAGAGGATTGAAATGTCCTTGGCCAGATTGTCAGGTGGTGGACACTTGGGTCGTTATGGTGCAGCTCTGACGATTAATGCCTTTCTTGGGAATCTGGTGCGCGACGAACTGAAATCAGAACCATGTGTCTCCAAAAGACCAGATCAACTTGGAAATCAAAGGTATTGTGATACTCTTGTTTCCAAAATATCCCACACGGACTTCTAAGCACCGTGCGCTCCTAATTTTCGAAGGAGACTTGTGACAAAACCATTGCTTAGTTAGTGTACCTTTTTGTGACTATACGCTATATATGGAGCTTGGTAATTGGGAACTGATCACTAAGTAATATGGAATTTCCCTGTGCATTGTATGGCTTCTGTTCGGGGGTACATCTCTAGCCTCTGCACAACAATACACGGACCTCAAGGCAGAAGAAAAATTGATTGACAGTAGAACCGTCAAAGATCCAGTGGACTTCAAGTCGGTAACTTCCGCCTACCTCATTGGCTCAGGCGTCTTTTCGAATTTTCTCCTCTGACCATTGAACATTTAAGGGCGACCTGCAGGACAGCAGGATTCCGTGATTGTCTGCATCACACACTGTTCGTACACAACAAAAGCATTGGTCAAAAGGCCTATGTTTCCCTCCTGACTTGTAAACCCTCTTTGTGGTACAGTAAATTACGTCATATTGTGGACACATGGGGCACTGTAAGAGACCTGAGTTCTAGGCGATGGCCCATCACACACTGGGGACTCAACAACAGAGCCCCTGTAACTCATGTACATCAGCTGTCACACCGTCGTGAACAACGTCGCAACATGGTGAGAAGAGTCAGAGCTTTTCGACGGGTTCTGTGAGAGAAACTGTAACATAAGGGAAAAAGGTTTATCGAAAATATGCAGGGATTTTTACACTTTTAGATTGAATTTCCAATCTGTTCGGCTCCGTAATCTGACTGCAGTTAAAACCTTTTTTGCATGTCATAAAATTATTCACCGTTAAGGATACACTTTCGTGTATATAAGTTCGACTTAATCGGGTTTGGAGCTGGCCAATGAATTATCCGGTCTGCGATATCCTATTTCTAACGAGGCCAATCTCATTTAGGCTGTTTTGATGATCTAGAAAGAAAGCTTGGTTGGAATTCAGTTCAGGTTTCAAGTGCTCACGGTAATAATGAGTTGACGCGTAACTCATTTGAGATGGTCCGGTGCCAACCGCTGTGTTATGGCTATCTTGCGTCAGTTCCGGTTCCGATTACATTCCGTGAAAATCTATTGATGTATTGTACATTTGGAAAGGATTATTCTTGCTATTCCTGTTACATCGTTTTTCCACTCAGCTGATGCCCATCATCCAACTAATGAGCGTCCGCGCATATCTGATAAGTTAGAAATGGAAGCACGAAACAGGCATTGGGCTATCGAGAAGTTTTCAGCAACCTTGTGAGTAGTATCTTTCAAGTCCGCCTTTCGTTCTTGCTTCACTCTCTGACACAAGACTAATGAGAATCATGCAGCAACTAGTTCAAACAATTCCGGATTGGAGTGGCTAACAGAGTCCCAGTTAGAAAAACAGGGAATTATTTGAAATTCGAAATCCTTTAGAAATTTGATTTTGACGTTAACGAGTAAGGATGAACAGTTTAGAGAGAGACGTTAAGCCAAATGACGGTTCTTCAGTTTATCGACTCTTTCAAATTCGAAATGATTAGTTACTCGGCTTGCTTCCTACCTGAGTTTACGTCTGTCCCTTTAATGTCTCGAATCAAGACGGCTCATATACGTCAATCGGTAGCACGGCATTCGCAGATGTCCGTGCGATATTAGTTCCAGTGGCGTAGACCACAAACGACCTAGAAAACAAGCGATAATCAAATCAATGTAATGGGTGAATCTGGTAAATTACAGGTTTCCAAGTTTTTGTGCATGTCACCTTGATTACAGGTTTCAATTCATCCGTACTATGGCAGGGGCCAGATAACTGAAACCCAGGGGTGATTTCACTATGCAACAAGTAAGTGAGCATCATGCCGTGATAATTTACATATCCGGAGAGCTGTGACAGCTGGTAGTAACTGCCACGAAATCCAACGGATTAATAGCTAGGTTCAACTGTCACGTGACTACGTGTCATCAAGGTTGCGAAGGAGACAAGTACCAGCCTACTGCGAGATGTGTCTGATAAGGTGTGGAATTACTTAAAAATCGACCCGATCGATGAAATTCACACAGCCTCATATCCGGAATAGTTTTAAGATGATGAATTACCGTCCGGGACAATTCATAGGAGGGATCAACAACATATGATCAGCACATTCGATCTTAACTCGGGCCACATCCTTTCAGAGTGAAGTAGCTGTTGATTCTTTTTTATTCGTATTGTTTACAACGAAACTCCTCGTTTTGTTGTTTCCGTTTTGTACCTATTTCCTCTTTCTCTTATTTTGATATGAATATAAAACACTTCTTGACCTTGTCAATATCATCATCATCATCATCGACAGCATGACATCGATGCTTCACTGCCGTACTTGTCATCGTACGTCTAGTTTAAACTAACTACTTGGACTTTGCCATCTTGTGACCATTTTGTCTTGAGTCGATGTAAACTTTGGAATCGTCAGCTCTTACCCGGTGTATAGAAGCCGGCGTAATCCCACGATTTGAGGCCTGCACAATTTTATCTTATCATTGTATGCTAAGTTTCCATTTGAACTATTTGACTTTTCCGCGTAGTTCCACGTGGCCCAACAGATTGCTGGAAGCAATCGATAGTAGCGAGAATCTTTACCCGAGATTTCTATTGACGACTCTGTACGATTCAGTTGAATTTGACAGCGCTTTACCTAACCGAGAGGGGGAGGGCTGACTTTTCGAAGACCATTACCGTAACGGCTACTCTGTGATAGTCCGGACCTTGTTGGCCGAAAGAGTGAACCAGTTAGGCTAGATGGTGAAGCGGTGCCATTCGACTCCATTTTTGGTCGATCGTGTGTGAGATGTGAAGCAGGAGGAAGGTTGTGGAATGATCGATGCATAACGTAGACAAGTCTGGACATGTTTACCAGGTAGGAAACGATCACTAAACCCCCGATGTAATGACAGTTTTGGTCGGCTACGTGTGTCATGTCTAGAGCGGAATCACCTTACCAATCGCGTGTTGTGGATTTTGCTCAAGCTCCAACATCCGCCCTACGAGTGAAAACGGAAATAAATCATAGTTTGTGGCATCATATGGAGTAACCGTCGCAGGCAGCGCAATGCATCCTTACCCGACATCTAAATTTTTCTATTTGTCTGTTTTTTTTTGGAGGGGGGGGGGTCCGAGGGATCCACACTCCTTATTACTACCTTGTATTCACCCGACCCAGAATCGTGACCCTAAATTCTAAGTTTTTTACGTTTATTTCTTCTAAGAGTGGCATTTTTGATTCCATAGGTAACGTATTGGAAATACACTATCTGTGTAGATCTCTTTCACGCGACCTCTCATTTTTTTGTTCAGGACCTCAGAGCTGGTCCAGGGGAGACCATTTTATGCAGCCTTTGTGGAAGTTCCAGTTGGTAGTGGTGCCAAGGATTCGAATATGGACCACAAAATTCCCTACTTGTATTCGATACATAGCTCAGCATAGAGCCTTTCTCGTGGAGTACTAATGTAGACAGATCTCATCTCTGTTGATTTCTCACATGAACGCATTCTGATGAGCGACAAGTATCCATAATTTTGATAACTGTGGAAAGCAACCTTGTTTTTGAGAAATACACTCATCTGCAAATCAATTTGGTTTTCACGGGAGACTCAA